AGATGCAGTTAGGGCCTGTAGCATGGAAGTAGGTGGGAACTTGTAACTGAGATCTCCAGGCCTGCTTGGATTGGGACTGGGCCTCCTGCCCCCAGGTGCCCAGTTTTTCAATAGCTTGGCAGTCACATCCACAGACTGCCCCAGGCACCATGCAATCTCATCAATGGCCAAGACCCAGACACTATAAACTAAAGCTCCTGGAAGAGAGAACCACAGAATATCCTGACCCCGCGCCAGACTGTCTTCACTGGGGCACCTCGGAGGGGGGTGGGTTGAGTTTCCCTCCCTGCCCCAAACAGAACTCCAGCAGCCCAAAACCTCCAGAACCCAACCACCACCATGTTAAGGCCACTCTCCACGTGCTCGGATGACCTCCTCCAAGAGGGGACGAGCCTCACTCAATGGGATGAACCTCACCAGAGAGCAGACTGGCCAGAAAACCCAGGTATGCAGGAACTTATGCTTGGATCGAGACTGGGCCTCCTCCCCCCAGCTCTCCGTTTTCCAGAAGCTTGGCAGTCACACCCACAAACCGCCCCCTGTGCCATAGAATATCATCAGTGGCCAAGACTCAGAGACTATAAACTAAAGCTCCCGGAAGAGAATAACACAGAATTTTCTGGACATTATACTCTGTCCATAACAAGCAATGCAAAACAAATTGTCTACCGTTGCCTTTTCAGCAGGTTTGAGTGCTGGTGAGACTGGTGTCAAAATATCAAATGTAACCAAAATAGAGACAGAGTATGGGGGAAATTGTCTATGACACAGGCAGAGTAAGGGTTGGAACAGGGGTGGGAGTGGAGGAATACTGAGGATTTGGGTTATCAAAAATGTGCACTGATGATTCAAACATGAAAGTCTTGTAACTGTATCTCACGATGAATCAAAAGAAAGGGTTGGGGGGAAGTAGTAATAAAATAATAAAATAAAATTAACACTCTGAATAAAAATAGTAAAAGTAATGTGGAATTCATGCCCAATTCAATCAGCTTAATCAATGGCTGAATAAATAGCAGTACTCCTACATTATATAAAAAAATGTTTATTAATCCAGATAAAGGTAAGAAGGTGAGCATGACATAAGAGATAGGCCAAACACTAAATAAAAATAGAATAAAAACTATAAACAACTATGTACAACTGTATATACAAATATACCAGTAATCATATTCAAGCTTTACAAATGGACTAGATAAATAAAAGATGAAAACTACTCAGTTGAATTAAAAACAAAGGTTGTTTACAAACAGGGCTGAGTCTAGACGTGGTGCCAAAGATCAAACCCTAATCAGCGAATGCCCTTACCGACCCGCAGTAGAATCACTCTGACCCAAAACCCATCCCTGTAACAGAAAACAGAAACAGACCGAAAGTAACTGGAAAGAGAGTCTTTTAGCATGCATTGACCAAGTGAAATCACAGAGGGAGTTCTACCAGAAGGTGCAGACTTTAGGCGAGGAATCTTCTAGAAAGATTCATGTCTGTGAAAAGATCAAAATGAAGCCACCTCAACTTATACCTGACTAACTGTTTTTGTTTGCTTTGGGGTCACACCTGACATTACTCAGGGCTTCCTCCTGGCTCTGTTCAAGGTTCACACCTGACGGACCTCTGGAATCATATGTGGTACCAGGAATCAAAACTGGGTTTGGCCATGTGCAAGACAAACACCCTGCCCACTGTAATATCTCTCTACCCCCATATATCTGACCATTCTTTGAGGCAAAATTAACAGAATGTAAAACAGGCGAGCCTGTCTAGAGGTGGGCAAATTCACCATCACAGTGGCAAATTAAAAGATGTCAGAAAAATCTAATAATGATGAAAAAGTCTAAGAAAAAAATCTATGCATTTCGTTCATCTCCCTGACATATTTGTTGCACTGAACCTAGCAAAATTCACTTTTCCCCCCAAGTACTATTGGAAGAGCTGCCAAAGTGGCCCTACCTTGGACCCTGAAATACATTGGTATACAATTCAAAGGACTGAGATGATTCAGCTAATTCTCTGGGAGAATTCTGGCTCAGCAACAAAAAAAAAAAGGAATTCTTAAGGGATTCTCAGTGACTTAAACGTGTGGTATCTATCACTGTATAACTGAAACCCAAGCACAAAAACTTGTAAGTCCACAACTGTACCTCATGGTATTTCACTAATAAAAATTTTAAAAAAAAGAAACAAACAAACAAATAAAAATAAATAAACGTGTGGTAGTGCTTTGTAAATAACTCAAAAAGCAAAGGAAATGTAACACAAATCCCAGAGGAAATCTGACCAAGTACAAAGACGTGAAATCACCATCTGAGAAACACTCTGGGATTCCAGGAAACCGAAAGGACCAGAAAAGGGAAAGCAGCCGGAAAGGCGGGGAGGGCTGCGGGGGGCCGAGGGCCCGGTCTTCCTAAATGGAGATAGCGAAGCCACCCGAGTTCACAGTGCCTCCAAGGCACAGAAAGAGCCAAGAATATGTCTGAATCCTGCACGCTGTGGTTCCATGATAGGCCAGTCTCTGCACCCAGCCACTGAGCCTGAGTCAGGAGTCGACTACAGCCCCTGGTTAGCGTCTCTCCGGCAAGGATCCCTGGGGAAACGGGTGACTGGGACCCCACCTCAGCTCCCTGGAGGATGGCCATAGCTCCTTGCTTGCCAAGCCTGACACTCCTTATGGGGAGCACTTTCTCCACTGCTGCCAACTGAGATCCCTGGAGAGCTCAGTTCCCACTGAATGGGGGATCTTTGCTCTTGGACATGGTCCTCTGTTGTAGACAACCGCCACCACAGACCCTCTCCAAGCTTCCTCTAGGCCCCTTCAGCAGAGCTGTATGTCTCATTAAACTATTGTCCACATGCTGTTCTTCAACCTTTGAACACCTCCATACAGGTCCCTGAGCTCCAGTTATGACTAAGGCAGAAGACTACTGTTGTCAATCTTTTGAAACCTCCTGAATTGCAGCCCATCCTCAAAACCACCGGAAACCACTGCTTGGCCCACACCCAGTTTGAATTGTTTGGCTTTGCATGGTCTCTGGGCTTTGCTGGAGACTTAGATTACAGGTGCTCCCCCAAATCCCATTCTGATTTCCAAGAAAAATTGTGTGCCCCCTTACCTCTGAACTGCTCTCATTCTCGGGGAGCAGGGAAGAGAGGGTTTAAAAACAGGGATGTTGAATGATTCATTAGTTAATTACAGGACCAGAGACACAGTACAGGGAGTTAGGCTTGCCTTGCATGCCACAGACCGACCTCAGTTTAATTCCTGGCACCTCTAACGGGCCCACCAAGCACAAAGCCAGGTGTGATTCCTGAACACAGAACCAGGAGCAGTAAGCCTGAGTATGGGCATGTGTGGCCCCCAAATCCAGAAACAAACAAATAACCACATTCAAAAGACTGTGGTTGCTTTTTAACTGAGAACAGGGGTCTGAGCACTTTCCCCGTGGCCCACAGTGAGCCAAGCTGAGGTTGCACGTGACCCTGAGGGTGTGGGACTGAGCAGGTCCTGAGCTGCCCGGGATCCTCTGGTCATTTTGTCACTGCTACTTAGGTCTTCATCCTGTGCCAGCTCTGCTTGGTAGACCACGTGGGGCCAGGGATCGAATTTGGCGCAGCCATCGGCAAGGCATGTGCCTTAACCTTGCAACAAAAGTCTAGGATTGAAGGAGAACTCCAACAGAAAGTCCAGAATAATTTTCTTGTGACTTCCAAACCACAGAGGGGAGTTTCCTATTTTTCTCCAAGCACATGTGCATACAATTTCACTTAGGAGAATTCCCCGTGTTGGAGCTCCACTGGCTTCCCAAGGAGTCATCATAATGGAATTTTTAAAAAAAATAATACTTATTTTTAGAAATAGCTCAAAATGACTGAACAAGTCAGGGCCAAGATGCTCTTGCAAAAAGGTTCCAGGTTTTGTTCTTCAATATGCCAAAGTGTCCTCCTGCCTCTTCATTAAGCCGTGAATAAATAGCTAAAATAAAATAACTGAACAAATAAATAAATAAATAAATAAATAAGAATAGCTTCTTCTTCACTTCTTTGACTCTTTACTTTGTAGGTAATTACCAAGGAAAAGGCACGTCTTTTCCATTTTTTAATTTTCATTTTTATTTCCTTTATTGTTTTCTGATGCCAGAAATGATTGAGCAAGAGAGGAATTACCTTTTGTTCTTTAGGATTCCTATAAATATGAGTTTCTGTTTCCAGAACTCCTTTATGTATTTCACTCTTCACCCTGAGCTACGTGCTGTCTGAAAGGGTTAAATATCAATTATAACCGAAAATGAAAGTGAAAAGGAAATACGCCTGTGTTCTATCAGAAAGAAAACAGCCACTTCGATTTCTAAACCGCTGTCGCTTTATTATGTTTAGTTTTTAAAGTGAGCTTGATTTCATATATCCTCAATTATTTTTTCTGAAATTTCAGAGTTGATCAAAAGTCCTAACATGTATTTTGATTTTCCAATATACTCCTATGAGTAAAATCATCAGATCTGTTATGTATTCTTAAATAGCCCAGTTCTTTTTAGAGTAGCCCAAAGACAGAAGAAAGTGAGATGCCCAATTCCTCCCTCTTCTTTGTCCACAGAATATGCGTACTACTGTCCTTGTCCAAAACCTCAGCAACCACATGCTTCTGTAAATAAAGTTCTGTGAATACTCAGGCAAACCTGATCATGCCTACAGTTGCTTTCAAGAAATCCAGGCAGAATCCTGTAGTTGAGGCAAGATAATTTGTCCCACAGAGCCCTAAAGATTATTGGCTTTTTCCAAGGAAAACCTGTATCATTTCTATATTATGCAGTAACCTCTGTACCCCAGCTTTAAAATTCATTTCTATGACAACTGTCATTTTTCCTTTCTTAGACAAGATGCTCATTTTTTTAAATTCTGAGGACATGTAACTTTACCTGATCTGATACCTCTGCATTATTCTAATCACATGATTACATATAAGGCTCTTGAGCATTGATATAATTCTTAGAAACATACTTACTTACAGGTCCTCCAGTGGGTTGGTGAGTAGCGTCATCCAACTTTCATGTGTCACCAAAATGGTACGTGATGGGCAACTGTTTCAGACAGCCAGAGGGCCACACGTGAAAATGGGTTCTGTTGGAGTCAAAGGTAGATGAAAAGAATAACAATTAGTGACTAATTCTCCTCTCCTTGGACTTAGGACAGCCTCACTCCCATCATTCTAAAGAAGACATGGAGACGTGTAGCAAAAGCTTCATAAACCAATAAGGCATGTTTGGGATTGATCTTTGCTAAAATCTTTGATTTCTCCATCATTTTGCTTGGCATCTGTGTAGACTACAGTGACTTCATTTTGGAGGACAAAGCATCATCATATCTCGTTGAAAGTACAACCTTTCATTGAATTTCCTAGTAAAATTTTTTCCCCATGGTCATACAAAACAACACAAAGAAAGGGGATTTCAAATGTATTGTGGAGAGCTGTTTCAAACTGCAGGTGTAAAGCAGGTTGTGAGTCCATAGAGGGAGGGGCCATGTTTCCACTTGGCACTCTGGAGTAAAGCACAGCATGAAAACATCATGTTTTCAAAAGGGTATGGACAAGGTGACAGATCATCTGAAAACCTTTAATATATTTCCTGCTTTTTATGAAAGTGATCAGGAGTCCTGGGAGTGACTCAGTTGTAGAATAAATACATACCTCACGTGCATGGCAGTACCTTAGTTCATTCCTAATCACCACAAAAAAATGATCAGTCTGTTTTTGAGGGGGTCCTATCCAGCATTTCAGGGATCACTTCTGGCTCAGTGCATGGGGCGGGGTGGGAGTATGCTTCTTTCAGTGGTGCCTGGGGGACAAGGAGGTGTTGAGGATCAAACCCAGACCACCTGTGTCCACAGGAGTCTTCTCCCTATCCTTACATTTCTTTAAAAAGTGAAGTAGACAGTAGCCTAAGTCCTATTTTATAAATTAGACTACTTAAAAAAGGTTCAGTATGACACATAGGTAAGGGATATTAATATCAACAATACAAAGAAAATTACCTTTATAATCTTACTTCAGACTATCACTGATTTAGTGAAAATTTAATATAATTATTAAAGGTCCAGAAAGACTATTAATATCCTTTTCACAGTTTAGAACATTTGCTCAAAATACCCCACGGTCAGGATTCAGAATTCAGTTCTAGTTGTTGGTCTCAACCCTTAAGGAGCTATTAACAAAGAGAAAATATCTGGGAACTGAGTGTCTTCACAAAAGAATAAAGGCATTTTCATGTGTAAACAAGTTTGTTTTGATTGGTTCTATGGGCGTGAAGAGGACAGCTCACTTCAAAAGGCGTCAGTGATGGGGCCCAAGTGATAGTACGGCGGGAAGGGCATTTGCCTTGCCAGTGGCCAGCCAGGGTTCGATGATTCCCACACCACATAGATCTCCTGAGCAGCATCAGGGGGCATCCCTTACTCAGGAGTAATCCCTAAGTACAAATAGATGTGGCCAAAAAGTAAAGCTTCAGAGAGAGGACTTTGGAGCACTATCGAAAAATAGGCCCTTGAGCAAAAGGAAAGACTTACTTGAAGATGCTCAGAATTCAAAACAATGGGAGGCCGAGAGGTGCCACGTTAAATGAGATTTCACACTTGAAATTGGTGAGTAGAACCCAATTCTGGGAATAAAGAAGCACTAAGGGGTCAGGGAAGTAGATGTAAGGGCCTGAGCACATACTTTGTAAGCAGGGAGTCCTGGGTTCTACTGGAACTGTAAGGAACCTTGAGCGCGAATGGAAGTCACCTTGAGAAAGAAGCCAGGAAGAGCTCTAGCAACACCAGGTCTGGTCCCTAAATTTTATTTATTTTTGAGGCTCTGGGGACACACCCAGCTCTGCTCAGGGCTCACTCCAGGTTCTGTGCTCGGGAATCACTCCTGGTTTTGCTTGGGGGACCATGCAGGGAGCTGGGCTTGAAGCAGCTTCAGTGTCAAGGCAAGGGCGGAACGCTGCACGTCTCTCCTGCCCTGAACTGCCCCATATCCTAAAGAGAGTTTTGGAGCAATGTCCAGACACCTGTTCCAGGCTAACTCGGGAGAGAACACCTGTTTCAACTACCTCCAACCACCTTCAACCTCCTTGTCCCATAGACAAAGTACTTCAGTATCAGGAGGAGAAGAGAAAGGCAATGGCTGGAACACCAACCCGAGTATGATGGGTGTGGAGGGAGCCACACCCAGAAGTGCTCAGACTCACTTATGACTCTCTGCTTGAGGATCACTTCTGGAGAGGATCAAGGGGACATGTGAGGTGTCATAATCAAACCAGGGTCAGCCACAAGCAAATCAAGCCCCTTGGGCTGATGCTTCGGGCCCAAGGGAGTCTCTTCAGGCAAACACAGGGAGTGGGTCTCTACACAGACACATGCTTTTGGTTTTGTTTGTTTGTTTGTTTGTTTGCTTTTTGGGTCACACCTGGCGATGCACAGAGGTTACTCCTGGCTCTGCACTCAGGAATCACCCCTGGCAGGGCTCAGAGGACCATATGGGATGCTGGGAATCGAACCCGGGTCGGCCGCGTGCAAGGCAAATGCCCTACCCGCTGTGCTATTGCTCCAGCCCCCCAGATGCGTTTATTTTGCACTCATCACTCCTGTGAAGGACAAATCCCAGGCTCCAGACACCCGAACTCTCCCAGTCAGGCTGCTCCAATCCTCCTAGAGGACCAGACACAGAAACAGTGACCAGAGGGTCTTTTCAGAGTCGCATGGTTACTAACATCCCAGTTTTCAATGAGTTTGAATTGATTCTTTCTTCATTAAAGTCTTGCTGTGAAAAATTAAAAAAAAAAAAAGCCAGGGGTTGAAGTGATAGCACAGTGGGTAGGGCATTTACCCTGCATGCGGCTGACCCAGGTTCGAGTCCCAGCATCCCACATGGTCCCCCAAGCACCGCCAGGAGTAATTCCTGAGAGCATGAGCCAGGAGTAATTCCTGTGCATCACCAGGTGTGACCCACAAAGCAAAAAAAAAAAAAACAAAAAGAGCGGTCAGAGGATCTAAACATGGTGCTAATGTGGCATAAGCGCTATTCATTCTTGGGCCAAATAATTCTGAGAACTAATATTTTCCTACCCGAGATGGCAATGGGCTGGTGAAGTCTAACACAGACCCCACGACTGATATGAAAAGTTTTCACAAAGAAAAGACTATGGAACAGCGCAGGCTAGGGGATGCCCCATCCACTGGAATCTGAGGGATGGAAGAAACTCAGCACTAGCCAAGGTCAGGTTCATGCAGCTGGCAACTGAGGCTGAGGAATGAAAAACATGAAAACCACGGTGGGGGAAGAGAAATAAAAGGAGCAGAAGGGTTATAGAACTTTTAAATTTTAAATTTTTAGGGCTGGAGCTATAGCACAGCGGTAGAGCATCTGCCTTGCAAGCAGCCAACATGGCCGACCCGAGTTCAATTCCTCCACCCCTCTTGGAGAGCCCGGCAAGCTACCAAGAGTATCTCGCCCGCACGGCAGAACCTGGCAAGCTACCCGTGATGTATTCGATATGCCAAACACAGTAACAACAAAGTCTCCAATGGAGACGTTACTGGGTCCGCTCGAGCAAATCGATGAACAACGGGAGGACAGTGACAGTGACAGGGGCCAACATACAGCATAGGGGTTAGGTGCTTGCCTTAACTGTTCAATAGGAATCAAACTCAGATTCAGTTCCCGGTACTGCATGTTCCCCCTGCTCCAGCCCCTCTAAAAGGGATACTTGAGTCTGAAGCTAAAAGTAATCCCTGAACAGTGATAGATATGGCTGAAAAACCCTACTAAACTAATTAACTTATTAGCTAAAATTACATCCTTGTGACCTTAGTACTTTCTTTCTACTACATAGTATCTTTGTAAAATAGGAAGGTGAAAGACAGATGTATATATTCTATTTATATAAAACAAATCATATAAATTTAATCTTGCCTAGTTCATTGATAAAACTAAATTGATATATTAGCATATGTTCTAGGTTACTGATGTATAACTTTTCACTCTAAAAATATATACAAAAAGCTATTTTGGTAACTTCAAACATTTGTAGTTAAAGACCAAAAAAAATGCAACGGATCTTTTTATCTGGTGGGGAGGGAGGTTTGGAGCACACACAGCAGTAACTCAGGGGTTACTCTAGGATCTGTGCTCAGGAATAGCTCCTGGTAGTACTCAAGGAACCATATTCCAGGATTGACCGTGTGAAGACAAAGACCTTAACTCTTATACTATCTCCTCAGACCCGACAAGGATGTGTTTAAAAAGTTCTTCCTCTGAATTCTTCAGGTATTCATACAAAAAAAAAGATCTATAAAGAATTATACTTCATCATAAAAATCAGCCAATCATTACTAAACAATTTTCCGGTACAGCCACTATAGATAATTGTTTAACTATTAAAGTGGATGTTGAGATTTATAACACCCGTAATAGCACCATCTCCACCTGACTGCTTGGCACTTTAGTGGAACCCATACCTCATCTCTTGCAGCCTCAAATACCATAAGACAATTTATAATGATGCACATTTCTTATTACCTGCTGATAATAACCTATCAGTGAAAACGACACATAATTACATAGCCCATCTCCCGCTGGCAAATACGCAGATTCAAACATTTTTATTGCTTCTTGCCAATCCCTTGCAAAAGTGAAGAAGCATGATTTCCACAAGGCTCGGAAATAACACAATTAAGTACAAAATGTGCAGCAAGGCTGATCTTTCATGAAACATCGATGCACACCCTCCATCTACCTGTCCATCTGTCCTGACTCCTGACAATTTCCTTCCCCAAGCTGGCCTTCACTCTTCCAATGTTAAATTATTTTATGGATTGAACCTCTGGAACGCCCTATCTCAGCGGCATGGCTTTTTAGGAAATCTCTCCAGTGCTTTGCCCTGAACACTGGATCTCCAAATCAATACAGAGGCTGCAAACTCGCTGTAGCTATCTCAAAGGTCTTATCACTAAGGCATTTCTTTGCTTCGCTCCTTCCTGAAAAGTAAACTGAACTGCTCCCAGACTAAATCACTTCTTAGAGGACTTCAGCAAGGAGACAATCTCTGTGTCTAGTTTCCTTGGCAACGGGCAGAGTG